TTAATCCTCATTGTAGTCTTCATTGGTCAGTACTGTTATTGTCACAATTTTACAGAAAAGGGCAGAGAGATTAGATAACTTATGTAAAGACATACAGTAAGTGCCAGAGCTAGAAGTCAAATCCAGGTCAGTTTGGATCAAAACCCCACATTCTTAACCACTGCAGTAAATTGCTTTTCTCTTTTAATCTATGGAGTCAGTATGTAGCATATTTATATTAATCATTAACATGTTACCTTTTGTATATATTGAGTGATTTCCAAAGAAGTAGTTTAGCTTTGGTGTGGTAGTGCATGCCTATAGTCCCAGCTACTGGAGAAGCTGAGGCAAGAGGATCACTTGAGCCCAGGTGTTTCAGGCTGCAGTAAGCTGTGATCCCACCACTACACTCCAGCCAGGTGACAGAGTGAAACAAACAAACAAACAAACTTTTATTATCAGACATAGAATTCTTAATATCATACCCATTTTATAGCAATGGGTATTTTATACCGTGATAACGGTATATAGAGATTAAATGATCAGTATGGGGTGAACGAACAGAACAAAGAAGTTTCTGATCTACACTTACCTTCACTTACTAGGTTTATGTTAAGAATCATATAGTGTTTACTTACATTTTCCCTTAGATTTTTCAGCACAGCATGATGAAGTTATATGAGTGCTTATCTCAGACAGTGATGCTATCTAAACAAGATATAGACGATTGGGCATTAGTGTGGATTTTAGGACAATAGAGCCTTATTGGTACATGATAGAAAACTTAATCCTCATCTTGTTGAGGAAGTCACAGCAAACCTGAGAGGAAAAGCCAGTCAGTCTTAAATGCTTTTCCTTTACCAAGAGGGCAGCTTAGATGCCCAGATATCTTTGCCCTCCAGGGATGCAGGTGTGCTGTTTTATTCTTTAATCATTCACATAAATTATAGCCTATTCCTTTGCATTTAAAAAATAATATAAAACAACGCTCTCCATGTTTTGTTGCCAGGTGAGAGCTTTGAACTTCTGTCTCATTGAAGTTTGGTAAACTGTAAGGATTTTCCAGGGTTGGGTGGTATACTTAACCACAGAGGGAACAGTGGACTGATAAAAGCTGCAGGTGAAGGAAACCACTGAGGGGTTTAGAGCTTAAGGGGGAGCTGCAATTAAGAGAGCTGCAATAGAGCTCAAGGGGGAGCTGCAATTAAGAGAGCTTGCACTTGGCTGCTGGTTAGTGTGAAATTCTTAGCAGGGAGGAACTTTTCCCTTCTTCTTAGCTCCTTCCATTCTCTAACAAAAAGAATGTCAGGACTGTCTATTTCCACTTTGTGAACTAGGAATGGTGGATTGGTTCTTTGTTGGAAACTTTGAAATCTGGGGACAAGTTTTAACTTCACACAGATGCTGACTAGTATGAAGGTGGAGACAGGACAGATACATACATTCACATAGAAACAAATGGAACACATGTTTCAGGTGATTTTACTATTGCTATACATTCCTGCCTTTGTGTTCTTTGTAAAATACAGGTAATTTTTACTTCTATAACTGATGATAAAGTGTTAATGTTGAGTTAATGTGTTAAGAGCATTTTGGCATCAGACAAACCTTAGTTCAAATCTTGGCTTGTCTTCATAGCTGTGTAATTTTGAACAAGTTAACCTAAACTTTTTATAAGCTTTAGTTCTCTCATTTATAAAAGAGGAGTATAAGAATAACTATCATAGGATTGTTATGAGGACTGAATGAAATAACTCATGATGTAAAACAATTAGCCAGTACTATATCTGGCACATATTGTTATTTAATAAGTTGTACAAGGGCTCATAAATGGTAGTTATTATTTATAATATTAAACTAAATATTTGATTGACAGAAAAATGTTTAATATATATGGTCCTGTGTTTTTCTTTTCTTTTTTATATTTTTGGTGCAAAGTATATTTTCCATAAAATTCCCTCTTTTTTCCCTAGGATCACAAAAGTACTTTGATTCTAACTGCTCTGAAAACATTTCCCCCAGGAAGGGCTTTCACATTAACTTTTAGTTCCTGGAGCTAAGGAGGAGGAGAAGCAGTAGGATTTGTTTCTAAGTACAGCTCTTTCATTTCTACCATCAAAAAGGAAAAAAAAAAATCCTGTACAAGCCTTAGGTAGAGCAAATCATAAAAGACCATACAGCTTAAGGAAGGAGTCTTTTCATAAGATGAAGATAAATTGTTAGAAGAAAAGAAGGAGAATATAGAGGTAAAAGTACAGCTTATTTAATATTAGTCTGGTTACTTTTTCCTCTCAATATATGCGTAACAAAAATGATTGTATTTTGAAAACAGTTAATTCTAGAAAGTGGCATATATTATTTCACAGCTTTACTCAATTTTGGCCATTCTTAAAAAAACAATTTTCCAGTTGGATGGACTGATGAGTTGATGAAGTACTAATCTGGTTTTCACATCTTTTTCAGGGGGTGGGAGGGTGAAGGTTTGTAGTGGTTGGTAGATGTTTGCTTTGGGAAACATTTATTTAAGTAGAACAAGACACCGAATGTAAATATGTCATTCATCTGGACATTAGGCTGGTATGAACAGTGGTGAAACTGGAGATCACATGGTCACTATTGTCAGATGAAGACTTTCTTGAATTCAGATTGGTAGATAAACTTATTTGTTTTATGAGCTTCTCTGAATGAGCAGGACTCCAAGAATAGTTTTTTGAAGGACTCATTTTTACAAATTTTAGGTAATTCCTCCATATTTTCCAGAGTAATCAAACTGTGAAAGAAGTGAATGTCTAACTTGGCAGCAACTTTGTGGAACTGCATTTTGGCAGGATAGTCATTGCTTTTGGATTTTTGTTCTTACTGCTCCAGAAGAAAAGTATTTTTTTCTGAATTTTTGGATGGTAAATTACAACATTGAATTGAAACCTTCTAAAGTGTGCCAAAATACTAATGTCAGAGGCTGGGTGTAGTGGCTCACTTCTGTAATCCCAGCACTCTGGGAAGCTGAGGTGAGTGGGTAGCTGGAATTTAGGAGTTCGAGACCAGCCTGAGCAAGAACAAGACCCTGTCTCTAAAAATAGCCAGGTGTTGTGGCCAGTGCCTATAGTCACAGCTACTTGGGAGGTGGAGGCAAGAGGATCACTTGAGTCCAAGAGTTTGAGGTTGCTATGAACTATGACACCCATAGCAACTCAGCTGAGGGTGACAAAATAAAAGTCTGTTTTTTTAAAAAAAAACAACTAATGTCATACCTAAAGACACAATTCAGGGGAAGAGGCATTTAGTGAGTACTTGCTATATAAGAGGGTTTTTTTTTTTTTTTGCAGTTTTTGGCTGGGGCTGGGTTTGAACTCGCCACCTCTGGCATATGGGGCCGGCGCCCTACTCCTTTGAGCCATAGGCACTACTCTATATAAGAAGTTTTGTGGGGGCAGGATACAATTATAAGAGGCATTTTACCTGACAGATACAATCAGTGTACCCTGATTCTTTGTACCCTCAATGAATCCCGGACAATAAAAAAAAAAAAAAGAAGGCTTGGCTATGTTGTTTATTGCAATAAATTCCCAGTAACCCATTTAGATAGGCTTTTAGAAAAATGTATTATCAAGTATATACTATGTGCCAGGCACTGTGGTGTTTTACCTGACTACTGTATTTAATTCTTATAACCCTATAACTTACATACTATTATTAATTGTATTTTACAGTGAGGAAACAGGCTTGGAGAATAGTTTGCTAACGGCCATACAACTAGAAAGTGGTAAGACTGAGAATAGAGCTCAAGTCTCTTTAAGTCCAAACCTCAAGTTTTTTTTTGAGACAGAGTCTTACTTTGTCACCCTGGGTAGAGTGCTATAGCATCATAGCTCACAGCAACCTCAAACTCTTTAGGCTCAAGCAATTCTCTTGCCTCAGTCTCCCAAGTAGTAGGGACTACAGGCGCCCACCACAACACCTGGCTGTTCTTAGAGACGGGGTCTCGCTCTTGCTCAGGCTGGTCTTGAACTGGTGAGCTCAGGGCAATCCACTTGCCTGAGCCTCCCAGAGTGCTAGGATTACAGGCATGAGCCATCGTGCCAGCCCAAACCCGAAGTTCTTAACCAGTCGTTCTCAAACCACAGTACCTAAGAAGCATCAAGTTTACTTGTTAAAAATCACTGGGCTCCAGTTAAAAATTTAAGGTCACTAAATCTGGGATCATGCCAAACTGTAAATCTGCATTTTATCAGGGTGTCCTGGGTAAGTCAGGGAGTTGATTGACCATACTTTGAGAAACATAGTTAAACTATATTGCTTTCTACTCTCGATAAAGAAAACAGGTGTAGATCAGTGACTATCCAAGATGAAGCTACCAAAAACAGAGCTGTAATTCAAACCCAGGTCTGACACTCACACTTTTTATAAAAAACCTATGATTATTTTACATGTTTCTAGGTTACAACAAATGCAGAATCATGATGTCTAATAAGTGGAGCCACAGAAATTTCATGGACTTGTTATTTATGAAGGTTAATAACTTATCAGTGCTGAAATTTTTATGGTTCTTAAGCTTTTCTAGTGACTTTTTTTTTTAAGATTAAATAATTGAGGTTTCTTTACAATGAGATCATTCATGCTTCAGTCATGGAATTGCCACCCCTCCAGTCTAGGGTAAATTTCTGAGACATGCAGAAGTGAAAGAGGATGGAAGAAGATGGAAAATAAAGAACTTTGATATAGGACTACTAAAAGATGCTAAAGCTCTTCAGCCTACCCTTATCACTGAGATGAAGAATGAAGGGTTGATACCAGTCCTACCAGTCCGTCAGATGGCAGTAGGTTGTATTCTGCATCGTCTCCCACTCTACCTTTTGAGACTGTAGCTCAGTTAGGGTCAGCAAGTTTTCTTTGCTTATTCTAGTCCACTTGGTAGGGCAGAGCCAACATCTTAATTGATTTACATGGCCTCCTAATGGGATTGGGAGAACTTTTTTTATATTTCTCTGATTTTCTCTTTCTCTCTTGTTCTTCCTGTGCAGCTCAGCGACATGTCCTCACGTACATGGAGGATGCAGTATGCCAGCTGCTAGAAAACAGGGAGGATATTAGCCAATATGGTATTGCCAGGTTCTTCACTGAATAGTAAGTACATGACTGCTCTGCTATAATAATAGGGGGAACCCAGAGGAGGCACTTGGAAGCAGATAGGGTCCATGAAGAGTAGAGTGGGACAGTGCTGATTATGTAGTGACAGTGAATGTTTATTTTTGCTAGGTTGGTTGAGGACTGCCCAGATATATTTTGGAGCATGCCTTTGGTACAGCTAGTTTTCTCTAGTGATATGTTTCATGACTGGGCATGATTATAATAGCTTAACTACTTGTTTGATCTATCAGATCTGTTTCTTTAGGTCCTTCTTAAAAAATTTAACTTTCTAGGCTGGGTGTGGTAATTCATGCCAGTAATCCTAGCACTCTGGGAAGCCAAGGCAGGTGGATTGCCTGAGCTCACGGGTTTGAGACCAGCCTGTGTAAGAGTGAGACCCCATCTCTAAAGATAGCCAGGTATTGTGGCTGGCACCACAGCACCCTTCTCTGTGTCACAGCTACTTGGGAGGCTGAGACAAGAGGATCACTTAAACCCAAGAGTTTGAGGTTGCTGTGAGTTATGATTCCACAGCACTCTACCGAGAGTGACAAAATGAGACTCTTTTCTCAAAAAAAAAGAAAAATTTAACTTTCTCTTTTATTCAGAGTATTCATTCTGATTTCCTTTAGTTGGTGTTCTTTTATCCTGTGTTTTTAGTGCCTGGTTTTTCTGACAGAATTGTTTGAGATGATGTTCCACTGCAATTTTTCTCTAGGATGTGGTGTCAGTCACTTTATGATTTAAGAGTATTGCTAGGGGGAGGATATCTTGCATTTTTGAAGGGTCATGCTTCTTTGCAAAGTATTATTACTTTTTTGAATATAACAGAACTGTTTTAAGGCATTGACAACCTAAAGTGAGATAATCACTTTAAAATACCTTAATCTGCTTGGTGCCTATAGCTCACTAGTTAGGGCACCGGCCACATACACTGGGCTGGAGGGTTTGATCCCAGCCTGGGCCTGCTAACAACAACAATGACTGCTATAACAACAACAAAAGATAGCCGGGTCTTGTGGCAGCTGCCTGTAGTCCCAGCTCCTTGGGAGGCTGAGGCAAGAGAATTGCTTAAGCCCAAGAGTTGAGGTTGCTGTGAGCTGTGACATCATGGAACTCTACCAAGGGTGATGAAGTCTCAAAAAAATACATAAATAAAATACCTTAATCTTCATGAAAGGATGTGCTACAGAAATACAAAGCATACTTTTAATTACCAATATGCTATCACATATAATTGTTTATATTCTCTTTCCCTTTTTTTTTTTTTTTTTTTTTGAGACAGAGCCTCAAGCTGTCCCCCTGGGTAGAGTGCCGTGGCATTACAGCTCACAGCAACCTCCAACTCCTGGGCTCAAGCGAGTCTCCTGCCTCCGCCTCCCAAGTAGCTGGGACCACAGGCGCCCGCCACAACGCCCGGCTATTTTTTGGTTGCAGCCGTCATTGTTGTTTGGCGGGTCCAGGCTGGGGATTCGAACCCGCCACCTTAGGTGTACGTGGCTGGCGCCTTAGCCGGTTGAGCTATAGGCGCCGAGCCCTCTTTCCCTTTTTTTCTGATTTATTTGGAACATAGTAAGAAGAGAAGGGTAAACCTCTTAACCAGTTTTCCAGTAAGAAAGACGAATTCTTTTTCTTTTTTTTTGAGACAGAGTCTCACTCTGTTGCCCAGGCTAGAGTGTCATGGCATCATCCTAACTCACAGCAACTTCAAACTCCTGGGTGGTTCAAGTGATCCTTCTACCTCAGACTCCTTGTATCTGGGACTACTGTCTATAGGCATGTAACATGACACTGGGTTAATTTTTCTATTTTTAGTAGAGATAGGGTCTTGCTCTTGTTTAGGCTGGCCTCAACTTAAGACCTCAAGCAGTTCTCCTGCCTTAGTCTGCCATGACAGCTCACAGCTCACAGCAACCTCAAACTCTTGGGCTTAAGCAATTCTGTCACCTCATCCTCCCAAGTAGCTGGGACTACAGGCACCCGCCACAACACCCAGCCATCTTTTGGTTGCAGTTGTCATTGTTTAGCTGGCCTGGGCTGGGTTCAAACCCAGTAGCCTGGATATATGTAGCTGGCGCCGTAACCACTGTGCCACAGGTGCCAAGCCTATTTTCTTGTTTTATCCTCTTTTCATTGTTGATTCTTTTTGGTAAAGCTCTATATTCTGCCATTTAAGAAGCTGTATACCAGGCAGCACATGTGGCTCAGTGGGCAGGGCCCCGGCCCCATGTATTGAGGGTGGCAGGTTCAAACCCGGCCCTGGCTAAATTGCAACAAAAAAAATAGCTGGGCATTGTGGTGGGCACCTGTAGTCCCAGCTACTTGGGAGGCTGAGGCAAGAGAATCGCCTAAGCCCAGGAATTGGAGGTTACTGTGAACTGTGTGATACTATGGTACTCTACCAAGGGTGATAAAGTGAGACTATCTCTACCAAAAAAAAAAAAAAAAAAAAAAAACTGTATACTACATGTCTAAGTACTCCAAAAGCAAACCCCACTGGTCTGGGTAACCAACACTAAACTCTAGTGAACCAGTAAGTAAGACTTACAATTATTTCAGAATTTTGTTGATTATAGGTGGCTTTTATCTATCAACATGCTGTTTAAAATAAATCCTAAGATTTTCTACAGGCCAGATACGGGGGCTCACACCTGTAATCCAAGCACTCTGGGAGGCCAAGGCGGGTGGGTTGCCTGAGCTCATGAGTTTGAGACCAGCCTGAGCCACAGCAAGAACCTTGTCTCTAAAAAAATAGCTGGGCATTGTGGGGGTGCCTATAGTCCCAGCTACTTGGGAGGCTGAGGCAAGAGAATTGCTTAAGCCTAAGAGTGTGAGGTTGCTTTGAGCTGTGATGCCATGGCACTCTTCCAAGGGCGACAAAGTGAGACTGTCTCAATTAAAAAAAAAAAAAAAAAAAACATTTTCTGCAGTGCTGATAGAAATCTTGTTGCCAAGTGAACTGTTTCTTGTTCCCAAGAAACTAAAAATTACATAATGTATGTGAGTGGCACGTATCTGACACTTCTATAACTCAAAGACACCCGCTCAGTAGGCCTGAGGTACATTATTTTAAGAAATGAAAAGTAAACAACCAGCATCAAAGCTCCAAATACTTTTTGGTTTTTGCAAGACTTTAATGATGTGGATATATGACAGAATGGAAAGTAGTGTAAATAGCAAGGAAACCTAAATGAGAGAAGCTTCTGTTTTTACTTTGTGAATATGTCTTATCTAGTGAAAAATCCTTCTTTTTCAGGCCTCAGTTCTGCATTGATTCATAATGAAGTGAAAAGAACATTACCCTAGGAAACAGAATAGCTCCTATGAGTCTTTATTCTTTTTTTTTTTTTTTTTTTGAGGCAGAGTCTTACGCCATGGCGTCATAGCTCACAGCAACTTCAAACTCTCAGACTTAAAGCAATTCTCTTGCTTTAGCCTCCCTGGTATCTGGTACTACAGATGCCCACCACAACGCCTGGCTATTTTTTTGTTTTTAGAGACGGAGTCTTGCTCTGGCTCAGGCTGGTCTTGAACTCCTGAGGTCAGGCAATCCAGAGTGCTAGGATTACAGGCATGAGCACCTAGCCTCACCATGTCTGTATTATATAACCTTGGGCACATTTTTGAAATCTTGGCCTCAGTTTCCTTGTCTATGAAATCGGTTTAATAAAACCTTATTTGCTAATAATAATAACATAATAATCATATATTACAATAGGCAGTTATTAAAGACATCTTTTTTCTCAGCCACCATAGTTCTCTGAGTTAAGTACTAAAATTATTATCATTTCTATTTTATAAATCAGGAAATTGAAACTCAGAAGGGTTGAAATAGCTTCTTCAATTTCACAAACTAATAGGTGACAGAATCAGGAGTTAAGCCTTCCCTGCAGTATTATAAAGGCTACTGTTCTTTACTGCCTCCAACTCACTTTACTGCCTAATGTTGCTGAAAGACTAGATAATATTTTAAGTTCTCTTCTAGATATAAATTCTAAAATAGTTGAATTCTTTCTTATAACTATACTCCCCAAGTTTATCACATGGCCTTCTCTGGTGACCTCAGTTCATTGCCATTTAAGTGTTTAGTATTGACCATTTTGGTGATAGAATTGGAGCAGCCTCTAAATACCAGGAAACATGATTTTTAAAAATGTGTTAACTGTGCCAGGTGCAGTGGCTCCCACCTGTAATCCTAACACTCTGGGAGGCCGAGGTGGGTGGATTGCTGAGCTCACAGGTTGAAGACTAGCCTGAGCAAGAGCAAGACCCTGTCTCTGAAAATAGCCGGGCGTTGTGGTAGGCACCTATAGTCCCCGGTACTCAGGAGGCTGAGGCAAGAGAATCACTTAAGCCCAAGAGTGTGAGGTTGCTGTGAGCTGTGATGCCACTATACTCTCCTGAGGGTGACAAATGAGACTCTATCTCTAAAATAAAATAAAATGGGCAGTGCCTGTAGCTCAAAGGAGTAGGGCACTGGCCCCATATACTGGAGGTGGTGGCTTCAAACCCGGCACTGGCCGAAAACTGCAAAAAAATAAAATAAAATAAAACAAGTTAATTGTACACTTCCATCTCACCGTTTCAAGTTCAGACCTTGAGATTTTCAGACTTTTGATGATGGATAATTTACCTTTAAATAATGATAAAAATGTTCTTTGAAATTGTTTTTGGAAGGCTTCTCTATTGATTTTCTTCTCTGATTACCTTCCTACCTATGCTGTCACCCCTGCTTTTGGGTGTTTTCAAACAAGTCCATGATTGTTTCAGTACAAGATAAACTGTAAAACATGAGTGACTGAGCTGTACTGTGTGTATGTCTACAATACTGTGTGACCTCTGTAGTTCATATTTCCCTGGACACTCATGAAAGAAGGATACTATATCCTAGAGGATTTTCTTTTATATTGTAAGTATCTTCTACTTCTGAATTTTGTCCTTCAATCAGTGGAAGGTAAAGTAAATTAATATTTAGAGGTGCTACTCTAAGAATAGAC